GCATAAACACCATTTCAGAGGTTATAGCAGAAATTGATCACATAAAAACATCATCGTGTTAGTCAAATTTCAATGCATTAGTAGATTCTATGTGAAGCCGATTTGCAATGTAAATATTATATGATAATGTTGTGTTAAAAAGAAGTCATGTTTTGAACACATTAGTTAATTTTATTTTTTCTCCAAATATTAAACTGAATAGGTTTTTTTTTTTTTTTTTTTTTGGTTTCAATCTGCCTACATCATGTGGAGCAACTGCAAGAGTGTTCTTCATTGATAGTTTTGACAACATACACCAAAACTTCAGAGAATCAAAAGAAATAAATAGAAATCAGAGGAAAAGTGCACTAGTTTATAGGAAAGAAACATTGTTGAATATGAATTGAATTGAGAATACAAGGCTGCAAGCCTTGGACACAACACTCTTGTAATTATTATTCTCATTTGAAAGGAAACATTGGTGCCTCACTACCTAATTACAGAACACGTCAGACAACCAAGTTCACTTTCTTTCTTTCTTAGCCTTGAGTACAAGTTTTTTTTCTTCTAGTCTTGAGTATATATATATTTTTTCTTTTTTTGTGGCAAAGTTTGATCGTTTCGGAGTTGGTGCTTGCATTATACCTCATTGCTCTAGCCTCTACTTTGCTGACTTTCAACTTCTCTTTTTTGTAACTTTTAGTTAGGGAATGAAAAACCCAGTTGCCTACAATACATTGTTGAAAATATACTATGAAGTACGAAAACTTACTCCAAATTTATCTCAAAACAAGTTGTACAATGTAAATTTAAAGATAGTGAGACGTGGGCGACACCTAAAATGATTGTGGTTGAGAGAAATGTTATTCTAGATAATTTTTCTAAATTTATAGTACTATCGATACATTGTTTCCTTCTTGTTATTACTCTATTCTTTGTTCTAATTCTACTTTTTAGTTGCTGTCACTTTCTGTATCAAGAATAGCCTCTCTTTTTATTTATTTATTCTTGTTTTTCTTTTTCTTTTTCGGTTTGTTGGATTTTTTATTTGAGATGTACAAAATTTGAATACAACCCTTTCACATAGGATAGAACCCACATTTTAATGAGTCTTACCGCATGTGAGAAGGTTTGTGTGCACTTAGAATTTTTATGTATTTCCTATAAGCAATTTGTTTAGTGTTGACGCTACTTATTAGCAGGATTTGCCTTCTCTAGTTTTTAATTAAGATTTTCTTCAAAAAGTTTTTGATCTCAGTTTTGTACACTTCCTTATAAAGCCCACTGTTTCTGTTTTATTTTTATTTTTTATGTGGAAAATTTAAATCTATTGGAAGTGGTGCTTGGATTGTACTTCATTACCTTTGGCTCTAATTAAGAAAAGAAAAGGAAAATAAATGGAAGTACTAATTAGTGTTACTACTAATGATGTGACAGTAGACCCCACCTATTATCATAGTTTTGTTGTGCTTTTTTTAAAAAAAAGTAAATGTCAATTTATTAGTGATGCTTTTAGAGTACCATTTTTAATAATCTCTATCATTATTGAAAACAAAAGAAAGATGTCAGTTGCCTGCATTTACTTTTGCTAGTTAACTTTACTCAATCTTAGTGCTAATTACACTTATATAGCTCCTTGATTTCTAGCATCAAATGTTAGCCGCTCTTTTCTTTATTATGCCTATTTGACATTCAACTGGTTGTCATTAAGAGAAGGGCCGTGTAAAATACCGCTCAATCTGTTAAAATCGTATCGATCTGTATCAATTTGTACCGCTCTAACCGTTGGCATGCTGGCTGTGGCGGTGGCACGACATGCTGGGCAAGGCAGTGGCATGGCATGTTGGCCAAGGCTAAGGCATGGCACGCTGGGCAACGTTGTGGATGGCACGCTGGCCACGGCAGTCGCAAGGCATCGCGGTCGAGGCCGTGGCACGGCCCGCTGGGCAACGCGGTGGCATGGCATGCGGGCCGAGGCCGTGGCAAGGCATGCGGGCCGAGGCCGTGGTATGGCAATGCGGGCCGAGGCGTGGCATAACATGTTGGGTAACGCGTGGCAAGACATGCGGGCCGAGGCCGTGGCATGGCATGTTGGGCAACGCCCTGGCAAAGCCATGCGGGCCGAGGCCATGGCGTGGCATGTTGGCCAAGGCTAAGGCATGGCACGCCGGGCAACGCGGTGCATTGGCATGCTGGCCAACGCGGGCAAGGCATGAGGGCCGAGGCCGTGGCATGGCATGTTGGGGCGACGGTGGGAAGGCGTGCGGGCCGAGGCCGTGGCATTGCATGTTGGGCGACGCCGTAGCAAGGCATGCGGTCCGAGGCCGTGGCATGTCATGCGGGCCGAGGCCGTGGCCTCGGCCCGCATGCCTTGCCCCCGCGTCGGCCCGCATGCCATGCCACCGCGTTGCCCAGCGGGCCGTGCCACGGCCTCGACCCGCATGCCTTGCGACTGCCGTGGCCAGCGTGCCATGCCACAACGTTGCCCAGCGTGCCATGCCTTAGCCTTGGCCAACATGCCATGCCACTGCCTTGCCCAGCATGTCGTGCCACCGCCACAGCCAGCATGCCAACGGTTAGAGCGGTACAAATTGATACAGATCGATACGATTTTAACAGATTGAGCGGTATTTTACACGGCCCTTCTCTTAATGACAACCAGTTGAATGTCAAATAGGCATAATAAAGAAAAAGAGCGGCTAACATTTGATGCTAGAAATCAAAGGAGCTATAAAGTGTAATTAGCACTAAGAATTGAGTAAAGTTAACTAGCAAAAGTAAATGCAGGCAACTGACATCTTTCTTTTGTTTTCAATAATGATAGAGATTATTAAAAATGGTACTCTAAAAGCATCACTAATAAATTGACATTTACTTTTTTTAAAAAAAGCACAACAAAACTATGATAATAGGTGGGGTCTACTGTCACATCATTAGTAGTAACACTAATTAGTACTTCCATTTATTTTCCTTTTCTTTTTCTTAATTAGAGCCAAAGGTAATGAAGTACAATCCAAGCACCACTTCCAATAGATTTAAATTTTCCACATAAAAAATAAAAATAAAACAGAAACAGTGGGCTTTATAAGGATTGTCACAAACTGAGATCACAAACTTTTTGAAGAAAATCTTAATTAAAAACTAGAGAAGGCAAATCCTGCTAATAAGTAGCGTCAACACTAAACAAATTGCTTATAGGAAATACATAAAAATTCTAAGTGCACACAAACCTTCTCACATGCGGTAAGACTCATTAAAATGTGGGGTTCTATCCTATGTGAAAGGGTTGTATTCAAATTTTGTACATCTAGAATAACCATATCAAAAAAACCAAAAACCGAAAAAAGAAAAAAGAAAGAATGGCAGAATAAATAAAAAGAGAGGCTAATTCTTGATACAGAAAGTGACAGCAACTAAAAAGTAGAATTAGAACAAAGAATAGAGTAATAACAAGAAGGAAACAATGTATCGATAGTACTATAAATTTAGAAAAATTATCTAGAATAACATTTCTCTCAACCACAATCATTTTAGGTGTCGCCCACGTCTCACTATCTTTAAATTTACATTGTACAACTTGTTTTGAGATAAAATTTGGAGTAAGTTTTCGTACTTCATAGTATATTTCAACAATGTATTGTAGGCAACTGGGTTTTTCATTCCCCTACTAAAAGTTACAAAAAAGAGAAGTTGAAAAGTCAGCAAAGTAGAGGCTAGAGCAATGAGGTATAATGCAAGCACCAACTCCGAAACGATCAAACTTTGCCACAAAAAAAGAAAAAATATA